ACCCACAGAATGGAAGAAAATATTTGCAAGTCATATATCTGATGAGGGTTTAATATCCAGAATATATAAAGAATCTACAAATTAACACAAAAAACAATTAACACAATTTAAAAATGAGCAAAGGACTTTAATAGATATTTCTCCAAAGAGGATATATAGCCAGTAAGCACATGGAATGATACTCAGCATCATTTGTCATCAGGAAAGTACAAATTAAAATCACAATGAGACTTTATGCCCACAAAACACCAGATAATTTTTTAAATATTTATTTATTTATTTATGTTTGGTACCAGGGGTTGAACTCAGGACCTTGTGCTTGCCAGGCAGGCCGCAGAACCACTGAGCTGAATCCCCAGTCCCACCAGATAATTTTTGACAGGGATGTGAAAAAAGAAAAACTTATACCCTGCTAGAGGGAATGTAAAACAGTGCAGCTGATTAGGGAAACAATACTGCAGTAGACACAGTTGCCATATGACCCAGCAACCCCAGTCCCAGGTATGCACCCAAGAGCAATGAAGATGGAAACCCACACAAAAACTTGTACCATATGTTCATAGTAGCATTGTTCGCAATGCCCAAAACATGGAAATAACTTAAATGTCCATTAACTGATGAATAAACAAATGTTTTACACCCATATAAAGGAAGATGAGCATTGAAAACATTACTTTAAGTGAATAAAATCTCTCTCTCTCACACACACACACATTTTACTATATGACTCAATTTCCACAAAATGTCCAAAACAATGAAATCTACAAAATCTACCTACACTGAAAGTAGATTCTCACTTTTTTTTTTTCTTTTTTCTTTTTTCTTTGGTACTGGGGATTGAACTCAGGACCTTGCGCTTGTGAGGCAGGCAGCGGCACCACTGAGCTAAATCCCCAGCCCAAAAGTATATTTTTGATAGCTTAGTGCAGACTTCTTCCTGAGGTGATGAAATGATGTCCTAAAATTAACTGTAGTGATGGTTGTACATGTCTGCGAACACACTAAAAAGCACTGAATTACAGACTTAAAAAGGGTGAATTGCATGGAAACCTCAGTGCTGCTGCATTTCTAACAATATGAAAGATAAGTACCAATATCATATTCTTGTTATGCTTTTTAAAATCATCTTTTTAAACAGATACATCTTGAAGCATTTGTGAAGGAAATACTTGTTGTTTTGGGTTCAGAAGAAACTGGATCATCTCTGAGCTGACAGTTGCTGAGGATGGGAGCAGAGGCGTGGAAGTTTACAATCCATGCCCACACCCTGTGTGTGTGTGTGTGTGAGAGAGAGAGAGAGAGAGAGAGAGAGAGAGAGAGAGAGAGAGAGAGATTATGTGCTGGAATTTTCCATAACAAAAGGGAAACAAGGCTGAGGCAGGCTGAGGCATGGATAGTACCAGGAGCAAGATCCAAACTTGGATGAGAAGTTCATATCTTGTCACCAGGCTGCATCTAAGGGATGCATGGCACACACCGTTTACTCTCGCAGAACTTTTGACAGAGCTGTGACTCAAGTCCACAGACATGAAGGAGGGAGCAGTCATTGTCTCTGCAGAAACAGAGTGACCTCTCCTGAAAGTGACCTGTGGAGACCAAGGTCACCAGACCTCTCTACAGCATTAGGAAACAGGCCAGTGCTCACTGCAAACTGCACCCTTCATAACCTGAAGGGCAAGTGTGTCACTGGCTATGCTGCTGAGGAGCTCAAGAGCACCCTTGCTCTTTGCATTTAGGGCTGTTTCAGGCCACCATCCAGGTGGACACTGTCTCCTCACCACAACTCCTGACTGCTGCAGTCCTCCCTCTTTCACCAAAGAGGAAGATGAAACTGTTGTTTTTGCAGGTTGCTGCTAAACTTAATATTTTTATGTTTTTTGGTACCTAAGTTTTAAACAGTGATATTGTCAATCCATCCTTTATTATCTTTTTATTTTATTTTTTATTTTTTGATACAGATTCTCACTATGCAGTTCAGGCTGGCTTTGAACTCTCTATGCAGCCCAGGCTGGTCTCAAACTCACAGCAATCCTCCTGCCTCAGCCTCCTAAGTGCTGGAATCATACATGTGTGTCACCACACCCATGTCTTTTTATTTTTTGCCTCATACCTGAAAATGGATTTATTCTAGGGAATTGCAATTTACTTAACACTGGAAAACTTACTATAATTTCCCAACAACAGATCAAAGATGAAAATTATTTAATGATCTCAGTATATGTAGAAAAAGAATTCAATAAAACCCAGCATTAGTCAGGGATTTAACTCAGTGTTGCTGCACCTGCCTGGCAAGAGCAAGGTCCTGAGTTCAATCCTCAGTCCCAAGAAACAAAAAATTTAATTCATGATAAACTTTTTAGTAACCAGTCACAGAAAAGATCCTTTAAAAATTGGAAAATGTGCCCAGAAAAACCCACTGCAAATACCTTGCTTTTGCTGAAAGCATATAATTTAAAAACCAAAATGAGACAAAGATGAATCCTCTCCAAGGTGCTTCTGTCCATGCTCATGCCAGAGGCTCTAGCAGCCTACTGAGGAAAAGAAGTAGGAGGTGCACCATGCTGTGTAGCTTCAGCCTGTCCACCATGGTCCAAAAGGGCTTCTAAGTAAGATAGGAGTGGGGAGTTCTGTTACCTGCAGGGGCCTAGGACTGCCTCCAGGGCAACCTGCACCACCTGTGTGCAAAAACCAGTGCGTGTTGAAGGTAGAAATCATTCCTCATTCTGAAAAATTTTCAAAGTACAACCTGGAAAAAATAATACCTCATGAATGTTTAAAGGAATAATGTAGCTGTTCAGTGTTTAAGTACAACTCACGAGTGCTAAGGCATTCCTTTTCCTCATCTTACCTTCTCTGAAATTTAGCATTTTATTATCACTGACTACACCTGCTTAATTCACTGAATAATTTTTTTCTTAATATAGCATGTAATATAAACCATCAGAAATACCAAAAATTCTGTATGTTTTTTTTTTGGTTTTTTTTTGGTTTTTTGAGACAGGGTCTCACTATGTAGTTGAGACTGCCCTGGAACTCACTATGTAGCCCAGGCTAGTCTCGAACTCATAGTGAACCTCCTGCCTCAGTGTTGGGAAATGAAAGTACTGGAGCTTCAGATCACCTAGGTAGCCTTATTTATTATTGCACCAGGAAGACAGTGCAGTCCATTTATTCAGAAATGATTCCTGAGGGCATGCATCATGCTGGGGACTGGAGAGGCATGGCGGGGTCACAAAGAAGATCAAGAGAGAACATTTCCCTTTCCTCAGCATCTGGCTAGTGTTATTAAAGTAAGTTGGATTGAATTTCAGAAAAGATATTGCTCTCAAATGCCTATTCTTTTACCTTTAAAGTTTATTGATAGGAAGTATGCACAGAAGTGTGCATACTTCATTGTGTGTAAAATCACATGTAATGGCGGGGGCAGTGGACACCACAGTACCACTGCTGAGGTTAAGATCTGGTCAACTTTTCAAAAATCTCTTTACCCTCTAGATCTTTAGGATGATGCCAGGTCTGCTGGTGAGATTTCATGAATCCCTTCCTCCAAAATACCATAAGCAGGGCTGACTGGGTGCCTACCCTCTGAATGGTCCACACACACATCATGGCCTGGTGTTCACACCAGAGGTGGGTGGCAGAACAGCTCCAACATACCCAGAAAGGATGAGGGCTATTCCAGGCAGTTGTCAGGAGCTCTGTGGGCTGACCTTGTGCCAGAACAGTACCCAGATAATCCAGCCCCATCCATCAATTATGTGAGTCTGCCTCTGCCTTCACTCTCTTCAGATGTGACCCTGATCTCAGGAGCTTTGGGGCTGTTTCCTGGGCTTGGATCATTCTTCTAGTGAGATGTCCATACCATCCCAACACTTGCCCACTATTCACCCTTGGACCATGCAGCCCTGCACCCACAAGGAGCACAGTCTTCCCTAATGGTCATCTGGCCACCTTGTCAAGTGTGCTCTCACCCGGATCACAAACTTCCAAGGGCAGGGCAGTGACTCCAAGTTCACCAGCAGAGGGAGGCCCAGATTGACTAGCTGAAAGGACACAGACTGAGGACCAGAAATCTGGGGCTCAGAGTATCCATCCATAAGATGGAGGGGGAGGCAGAGACTCCCAGTTTCCCTGCAGGGTCATGATGGTGCATCATTTCCTGGCTCTGGGCCACCTCTGGCCTTCATAGACTTCTGACTTGTCAATGAATGGCTAAATTCAAGAGGTGGCCAGCTGGGGCATACTGTCGGAGGCCTAGCCAGAGATTATAGGGAACAAGTCCTTTAAGAAGGCTGATGAAATAACCATCTCTTCAAAAAAAGTCTCTCTTAAAAATTCACCTGAAAGCAAATACTACTTGGGCAGTAACAAGTGCTGTTGGCATGATGTGCAGGCACATGCACATCCCACCCTCTAGATCTCTCAGAGCTGGGCTTCTCCTGGAGGTCAGGGCATCAGGCTCAATGAGGACATCTGGGGAGAGCCTCCCAATACATTTTGGGTCAGAGAAAGTTACAGAAAGACAAACTGGCAAGTTCCACACTTAATTCAGCAGATTTGGTGTCAGCCCTGAGGTATCTGTCATTCTTCACTCTAAGGCCCTATGGGGTCATTTATTAAATGCCCTCAACCAGCACTCAGGGTATGGATAAAGACAAGCTACCAGGCAGCAAGGCTGCATATGCAGACTTCTGCTCCATTGGAAAGGCACTGAACACTCATTTTCCTCCTATGTTCGTTGGTTTCAGAATTACCTCAAAAATCATGACGAATAAACAGGTGCTTCTGAGAGGCCGACACAGGAAGATAACCAGTTTGAAACTGGCCTGAACAGGTTAGGGACTGTATCAAAATTAAAAGTGGACTGGGGATGTAGCTCAGTTCATTTTACAGTACACACACACACACACACACACACACACACACACACACACATCACACCACAAAACAAAACAAAACTGAACACCATGACTGAACCATAACACTAGATCCTGACTTACCCAATGTCTTGCAGGAACCTCAGATTTGAGAACAGAATCTAAATTGCACAGATCTTAAAAAGCAGCATGTGTGCCTGATGAGTGAGGGTCATAGGAGGTGTTGGTTGGTGCTGAGGCTCCAGTCTCCCTTCACCCCAAGCTCTTTTTCATTGTAGAATTTACAGACCAAGAGTAAGTCTGTCCACCTGAGAAAGGTAGCTGACATTGGCTTTAACAATTCAGGTTCCATCACTTTTTGGCCTTCTGGCTAAGATCAAGTGTAACAACTCAGGCTCCAACACACACTGGCAAACATCTGAAAGGGATAGGTGCTTTCCCTTCCATTATTTCATTTAAAAAACCCAAGTTAGATCCCCGGTACCAAAAAACAAAAAACAAAACCCAAGAGTTTCTGTTTTCCCAGAGATGCAGGGAGAATGTCTGATGAACATCAACAGGCAATTCCTTCAGGTGTTTTTAACCAGAGCAGAAGAATTCAGGGAAGTCTGTGTGTCTGCTGTTGTTTTCTTGTGGTATGGTCACACACAGCAGCCTGTTGAGTATTGTACAGCAGGACCCTTCCCTCCTGCCAGCCAGGAGGACCCCAGCCCAGTGCCATCAACCTGAGTCCTGTGGGAGCGTGTGCAATTCCTCCTGGTCCTCTTGCCCACACAGCTAGCATCCTTCCTGGTCCAGTTCCTCCTGTCCAGCTGGAAGGTAGGAGTTGGGAAGGGAGGAAGGACTTAACCAGGGCAGCTACTGTTGCCCTGAAGGGAACTCGTATGAACTCACAGCACACTTTATCCTTAAGTCTCCAGATTGCTCTTGAAATAACAGGGAGAATGAGAGTTGCTTTTTTTCTTTTGCATCTCAGGGACTGGCACCCTAAATGTTCTCAGTACTGTGTGGAGAGTGAATGCCCCATAGGGGCAGCTCCTCAGCATAGGTGAGATCGCATAGAGTACAGTATTTTCCTTTCTCAGGTAAAGCCAGAGGCGTCCCATTCATAAAAGAGCTCAATCCAGTGAAAGCAGAAGGATCACCAGCGTGTTCCTGGCTGGGACCAAGTTAGAGCGAAGCCTTTGGACTCATGCAAAATCAAGGCCTCCTCCTGGGTGCAAAGCGCAGGGCACCAGAGGCGATTTTTTTCTTATTTGTGCCGGCAGAGGGCGCGAGCTCGGTGCTGATGGCCCGCTGCCCCTATCCCTGCCCCACGCTGCGGTACTAAGGAGCGCCTCACAGGAAACTGTCTCTAAACCCCTCAGAGCCCTCGGCCTCTGCCCCTCGCTGCCTCCCCCACCCAGCCTTGGACTCCCAGGACAGTCTATGCTTTTAAAATCTTTTTTTAAAGTTTCCACTTAGCCTAGAAGTAAAAAAATCTAGCCACGACGAAAACCGTGTTTCTTTCTAGCAGTCTTGGCATCAAATTATTTTAATTGCTTGTTCTGGAATTCGTTTCTGGCTGCTGCTAAAAAACGGCCTGTAGATCCTTCTGTATGTACATTGGCACCTGGAGGGAGCTCGGCATCAGAGCTGCAGCAGGTCCCTTGAGCAAACTTCAAAGTACTTTGTTGTTAGCCTTGTAAGAAGTAGGAGGATCTGTTTTGACTTACTCCAGGCCACTGTATGAAGCTCTTTTCATTGCCTTTCAGAAAAAGTTTGGTACGATCACAATTTTAAGAAAAATTTAAAATCTAAGAAAACCACCAATAGACTTCAAGAATCAAATACAACATCACATTAGCAGGTTAACAAAGAAAAAGAAACAACAACAAACACCCAAAAGTGACATCCATGCTCCAGCAGTTGCCCGGAGCAGCACCTCTGGAATGAGCAAGACTGGTCTGCGGACCGGCTGAAGCTCAGGCCTGTGACTGCTCTGGCTGCACAGTTCCGTGTGGAACTCACGGAACAAGAACTCACGGAACTCACGCACCAGCACCGCTCCCAGCCCGACTCCAGACCCTCGCCCTAAGACAGGTAGTACAAGCCACAGGAGGCGGCCGGGACCGCGAGGAGCTGGGGCACTGGCGGCAGAGCGCTCACCGCAGCTCCGTGCAGCGGGGCGCCCAGAGGGAAGGGCAGGGAGAAAGAGGGCACCAGCGGCTTGGCTGCCAGCTTCAACTTCTCCAGCTCGGCCTCCTGCAGCCGCTTGGCCTTGGCTCGGCGGTTCTGAAACCAGATCTTGACCTGCGTCTCGGTGAGGCTCAAGCTGCTGGAAAACTCGGCCCGCTCAGCGACGGGCAAGTACTGCTTCTGGTGGAACTTGCGCTCCAGCGCCAGTAGCTGCGCCGTGGTGAATGGCGTCCGCGGCTTGCGGTTGTTCTTGTGTTTTCGGAGGGTGCAGGGTGAAGGGCTGAGGGCACCTGAGAGAAAAGAGAAACACGAAGTGGGCGCTCAAAACCCGGCAGTACGCCCCGTTTCAATACTGCCCGGCCCCCGCAAAGGTCGGCTGTTGGTGCTAGTTCGCGCTCTGTGACTGCCCAAAGACCACTAGGGTCAGCGAAGCAAGGGCCGCGGAGGCGGTGGGAGAAGGGTGGACCGTCCTGGATCGGGCTCTGCTCCCTAAATCCGCTGCTCCGCACCTCAGGGTGCACAGGACTCTATCTTCCAGAAAAAAGCGAGAAGCAAATGTCAACTATCTTGAGAACGCTCCAGGTGGGCAGGCGCCAACACACTTAATTGCGTGGGACCCGGGAGCCTCTCAGACCTAGAAGCTCTGTGAAAATGGAGGTGGTGGCAGTGTTTTTTCCTCTTGCCCTCAAGCTGGCACCGTTTCTGGCTAGTTACTTCCTAAGTTACGGTCTTCTGATCCCGGGCAAGGTGGGCCCTTCTCGGGGGCCAGGGAGGCGAGGCTCGGCACTTACGTGGAGGACACGCGCGGGCAGCTGGCGGAAACCAGGATCCGGGCTCCGTGTCAGCCCGCGGCCTTTCCCCCCCCAGCTCTGCGGGCTCCAAGCCCGACCCAGGCTCTGCCTCCAGCAGTGACTCAACGCTGAAGGGCAACGGGGCAGACCCGGTGCGGTCCTTGCTGCGTGACCTGAGCCCAGTGGGGTTCATGGCCAACGGGGCCGGTGCCATGCGTGGGAAAGCGGGCGCAGGCTGGCCCGGAGGGACGCGCAGGACAGAGGAGCAGATTGCCTAACTTCTACCGGGGGTCAGCGGTGCCCTCGCCCCCTGTATCCTATAAAAAGGTGGTTCCGCTTTCATGAGCCGCTCTCCAATCCTGGCGGCGAGTGCTGCGCTGGCCTGCGAGTCGGTTGGCTTCGCTGCCCGAGAAGGCGGGACGGACAGGGATGGGCGGGGCTGCCGCCTGGATGGGACCCTTGCTCCCAGCCCGGCC